TGCACTGCGTGCGCTGCAATGCGCTGTTAATTCATAAAAGTGCCTGCTTTTTGCGCTGGCGTAAAGCATGATCGCAGCCCGGTGGGCCTTAGCATCCGTTCACATCTGTGCAGCAGCATGACAAAATGCTCGTCACTTTGTAAAATGCGCCGCGGTGCCATTCATTGTTAATGGCGCCCCATCGCACATTGATGCACCGTGCGCTTTTCACGTGTGTAAAACAATGGCAAAATACATGGAAACAAAGTACGATGGGGCAATCTATCACAACTGGAGCAGACAGAATTTAGAGCAGTTGCCCATAATAAAAATCAGTTTCATGAAAGAGATAAGCTGATTGGTTGGCATGGACAACTGCTCCAGTTTTGATAAGTCCCCCCCACATGTGTTTTGGTGCAAGAAGAAGAGTCACCAGTATGAAGTACAAGGTCGACTTGAATTTGTTCTTGAAGTATCATATAGGTTCGTTTAAGCCAGGGGTGGGCAAACTCCAGCCCTCCTCCAGCTGTGGTGACACTGCAAATCCCATCATGCCTCTGCCCCTGGGAGTCATACCTTTGGCTGTGAGAATCTTCATTGCCTTATGGGATTTGTAGTTCCACAACAGCTGGAGGGCCGGAGTTTGCCCAGCCTTGGTTTTGGCCAATGTTTCAGGGCCTTGCAGGGTTCCCTTCCTTATTGCAGTACAGAGACAAGTCGGCAGTGTGTCACTATACTTCTTTGAGCAAGGTGATAAATCTTCTTTAGATGGTAAGCTCTCATGCGCCCTCTTTACCATCTTGTCTTGAATTGTATTGTAACTGTAATGTCCTCCTTATATTGTTCAACACTTCGCAAACTGCGCTATATAAATCCTGTATTATAATAATAACTGAGTTAATGCACGGTGCCATGCGTTGCTGTCACTGCTAGCACCATCAAGCTACAGTGGTTGTGACACTGTATGGCATGCAACTTAGAAATGTATATCTTTATGCATTTTGGTAAAGCACATTTAAAAAAAATGGTGCAGGGACTTCTTCGCTGGAATTGTCGTGCGTAGGGCAGCCCATTGTAATGAATGGGCTCCCCTATACCTGATGCACAAAAAATACGCATAAACGCGGGCAGGCTGTCGTCAATGTGGATGGAAATTTAATGCTGAGTGGGTTCTGCTCTTCTGTGAGCATGCTCACTGGCCGAGTTGAAAGCGACATCTGCAGTATGGTGCAGTATTGTATTCCAATATGAAAAAAGGAGGCAGCAATATTGCAAACTGACACATAGCCACCCCTGAAAGGCAATCACCGGCAATACCTTGCCACCCCTGTGAAAGTGGCCAGGTTTGGTATTGGGCATGCTGAAAGGTAGGAGCTCCGAAATCATATGGCTTATCATGACGCACCCTATTTTTTTTTTTTTTAAACATCTTCAGCTTCCATTGTGGCGCTTGGTATTTGATCACATGACATTCAAAGGCACAATAGAAGTCAGTGCTGGAAGTTTGATCAGTGGTAGTTAAACTTAGGAGGTGCGAGGTTTGCAGTATGGGATAATCGTTTGAACTCTAAACTCTCCTCTACTGAGACATCTGATCACTTGAACAAAAAACATGGAAATGCATATGATGAGGGACAGTGAAAATGATTTTCTTTTTGAGCTGTGTGATGAAAGGCAGTCCATGTAGTTCTAGTCTACAGTGTATTTTGTAGCCAGTTAGGGTAGCTGCTGCTGTCTTTTACAATGTGGAGTAGGGCCTTGGCCAATTGTTTGCAGTCTGAATGATTTCTTGACATTGTTGTGACCCCATTCCAGAATGTGCTGCATATTTCCCAGCACTCTCCACATACCTGGATTATTTGTACTGCTCTGTCAAGTCTAAATTGTACTGAAATGAGAAGATGCAGGACCTGCTATATAAATGTCTGAACAATGTATATATGGACCGGTTCTGAGGAAGTTCTCAGATGAAACATGTTGGGGAGGGTTCAGGAAGAATTCCAGGCAAATAAAATCTTAACCCTTGCAGTGGGGCTACCCCCACACTGCTTAAACGGTTTAAAGGCGAACTATGAGGTGAGTGCTTTTCACTCACCTCATAGTTCTAGCCGACCTGTGACAATGAGACTGTCACAGGTCGGCTCAGTAGATCGGGAGGTGAGCGAACACATACCGGCGTTCGCTCACCTCTCGATCCTGTCACGGCTCTCTGCCGTGACAGGGGAGGGGCTGGATTCCCCCCTCCCCGCTCCGATCCTCCAGCGCTGACTGGTGGATCGGACGGGGGAGGGGCCGGGTACAGCTGGCTCTGCCTCTATATAGGCAGAGCCAGCTGTCAGTCACGCAGCTGGGCGGATCTGGGCACAATTGTCGGGATCTGCTTCAGCTGCGGCGTCTCAGTATACCGCGAGCTACAGCTCGCGGTATACTGAGGCTAGGGTGACGGGAGTACGCTAGTTTGTGTCCTCCCGTTACCTTAAGGAGAACTATGCGGAAAAGACTTAACCCCATAGTTCTCCTTTTTAAGTGCTTGTTTTGTCTAGGAAGCTAAGATAACAGAGATATACTCATAAACAAAAAGCACACAAGAATAGTACGGACAGCGCTCTCGGATTGGGCCTGGGGAAATGGATACTGTAACTCTACCTCGCCTGCAGCCCTGAGGGCGCAAGGCTAAAGGGGCTATACAACTAAGTTAAACATAGTGAGAGAAGCGAAAGGAGATGGAACACTTACTTTGAGTGGGTCTCGGGACCAGATGGGTATAGGGCTGTGGAGAAGATCGTGACGTCCAACGTGTACACTCAATGAAGGCTGGTATGTTGCCTGGGATAGCTCATCTCAGGGAAGATGGGCTGGGCTGCTGTAGCTGCAGCTGCGGGTGGAAGAACTCGAACTGTGTATGAACTGTTTATCAAGCTCATAAAGAGGTAACATCCTCGAAACGCGTTGCTCCCGAGCATCCACCCACGACCTTACTGACCCGATCACTCCTCACCCTATCACTATCCCGGCCGACTTTCCATCCCACATCATCACCACGGTACGGGCACAGGTCCAGTCACGTTCATACACAGTTCGAGTTCTTCCACCCGCAGCTGCAGCCACAGCAGCCCAGCCAGACGTCATTCCACACATCGCCGGCACTTTGCATTACAGTAGCGGGGACACGGACACATTTTGTGTGTCATTACCCGCACCCCCGACCACCCCTCTCCTCTTTCTTCCCTGAGATGAGCTACCCCAGGAAACATACCAGCCTTCATTGATTCAATCCCAGCTGTCTTCTAGACCAGTCCCTTCAGCCTTGCTCACCCTCTGCTCCAGCGGTCTAAGGTCCTGTGAGTCATCACATCCTATACAGTGTTATAGGATGTAAAGGCGCCCAGGGACATTCCACCACTGGAGCAGAGGAGGGGTCAGGCAGGAAGGACCGGTCTAGCATCCAGCTGGGATCGAGGTTCAGGGGAGTATAACTCTCACGAGTATAACTAGCACTTAAAGGAGAACTATGAGGTGAGTGCTTTTCACTCACCTCATAGCTCTAGCTGACCTGTGACAATGAGACTGTCACAGGTCGGCTCAGTAGATCGGGAAGTGAGCAAACACATACCGGCGTTCGCTCACTTCTCGATCCTGTCACGGCTCTCTGCCATGACAGGGGAGGGACGGGATTCCTCCCTCCCCACTCCGATCCTCCAGGGCTGACTGGCGGAACGGACGGGGGAGGGGGCGGGTACAGCTGGCTCTGCCTCTAGATAGGCAGAGCCAGCTGTCACTCACGCAGCTGGGCGGATCCAGACATAATTGTCGGGATCCGCTTCAGCTGTGGCGTCTCAGTATATCGCGAGCTGTAGCTCGTGGTATACTGCGGCGTCTCAGTATACTCGCGGTATACTGAGCTTAGAGTGACGGGAGGACGCTAGTTTGTGTCCTCCCGTTACCCTAAGGAGAACTATGGGGAAAAGCCCTAACCCCATAGTTCTCCTTTAACCCTTGCAGTGCAGGGGTGGCCCCACCGCAAGGGTTAAGATTTTATTTGCCGGGAGTTCTTGCATTGGAACGCCATCTTGCACAGGGGGAAAGGCCGAGCACATGGAAGAAGGAAGTGCGAGATTCTTAACTAATCTAGTCATTGTGTTCCTGAGTGCTGGGCTGAGCCCTATTCTCAGGGGTGAATCAGTTTTATTATAATGCCTTTTTTATCATCTTCTCTGTGCCCTTCATGATGACTATCTACCAAATGTAAGTAAAAGGAGAGAACATCATTGCCTCTGTAAAATATGGTACATTACGTCAGGGCTGGACATTCCCAAAAGACAGGTTCAGACCTAAGCGACACCCGGGACGGGCGATTGTGTACTAGTGGACACAGCGGTTGCTGTGCAGCCCCATTGATTTCAATGGGGTTACACACGCGCAGCAAACGCTAAAAAAAAGGTGCAAGTACCTTTTTTTTTTTTTTTTTTTTTTTTTGCAAAACACGACGTGCAGCTTTTAAAATTTTTTTTTAGCCGTGATCGTGTTCAATTGCACGGGCGGAATACCGTGCGATCTGCCCGGCGCAACTGGGGTACCATTAGAAAATAATGGCACCTTCAGCGCGATTGAGTGTGGTGGGCGACTCCGTGCACAATCCGTGCGGTTTTGTGCACGATTGCCGCGCGATCAGGAGTCACCCAGGTGTGCACCTAGACTACAGTGGACCTTTCCCCCTTTTAATAAACAGCCATCACTAAATAAATGTATTCATGCAAACAGATAA